TAACAACATATAATTGATAATTGAAATTGGAAAAGAAAATGTACCTGATTATCTTACACCAAAGTTTTGAGTTTAGGAAAAATAGGTCTTAAGATGTATAACATTCCAAGATCTTGGTAACACTTGACCATCTAGGGTAGATAGTCAATATGCCCCCTTTCTAACTTTTGAATCTATGAGGTAAGGGCCTTCCCATTTTGGAGCAAGTTTCCCTGCACTATGTTCAATTGTATTTTGGAAAACTTTCCTAAGGACAAGATCTCATACTTGGAATCTTCTGATTCTGATATTCTTGTTGTAAGATTTGGCAATTCTTTGTTGATACGTTGCTATCTGGATCTTAGCAAGATCCCTAAGATTGTCCATTGTTTCAAGATCTTCAACTAGGATCTTTTCATTTTCATCTTGGTCGTGGAATCTTGTCCTAGCCGCGAGGATCATAACTTTTCGGGAAATCACAACCTTAGTTCCAAATACCAAAGAATATGGTGTTTGTCATGTGGAATTTGTGGTTGTGGTCATATGTGCCCCAAAGAACCAAGGGCATCTTCCTCTTCTTTTTGTGTGTCGTTTCTTTAGTTTATTGATTATGATCTTGTTGCTCGACTCAGCTTGACGATTTTCTTGATGAGGAACAGGTGTAAAAGTGATCATCTTGATTCCCTAACTTGTACAAAAGTTTTGTGTTCTCTTACCTATTAATTGAGATCCTTTATCACATATAATTTCGGATGGATTGCCAAACTTGGTCAGGATGTTGCGCTTGATGAAGGATATCACTTCCTTTTCTCTAAGTTGGACAAAGTCTTCAACTTCTATCAAATTGGAGAAGTAATCAGTCATTGCCAACATGAAAACTTTACTACCCAGTGCTATAAGAAGTTTTCCAACTATATCCATGCCCCACTTTATGAATGTCCATAGAGATATAACAGGATGTAGATGTTGAACTAGTTGGTGCAATATATTGTTATGTCTTTGGCACATGTCACATTTTTTAGCATACTCCATCACGTCTTTCTTCATTGTTGGCTAATAGTACCTTGTCCTCAATATACTAGAGACGAGTTCCTTGCCCCCAGTATGGTTTCCACATTCTCCTTCATGAATTTCTTCGAGGATGACCTGGGCTTCGATACCTCAAGACACCTAAGATAGTGACCTATTGTATTTTTTCTAAACAAGATATTTTCGACTGTATTGAACCTGAAAGTTTTGATTCTAAGGGTCCTTAAGCATTTCTCATTTTCAGGAATGTATCCATCTTGGAGAAATCGAAAGATGGGTTGGATCCAATATTCTTTGGAATGAGATCCTAGGGTCCAAGATCATGGACAGGCGGCACCTCTTCTTGGATGTCTTTTATTGCCAATTTAATGACATGATATATAGGGATTTTGGCGTGTGGATGGGTCCTGCATGTTGAACCAAGATTGGCTAAGGCATCTGCTTTAGTGTTATCTTCTATAGGTACTTGTCTGATGTTGAAATCTTGGAACTAGGATGCCAATTTTTTACTATCTTCAAGTATAGAGCTAGTTTTTGTTTTTCACGGCATATTCTCCATTAAACTAGTTAGTAACTAATAATTAATCTACATTTACTGAAGATTTTTTATCTCAATATCTTGAGCGATATGTAAGCCCAAGATTAGTGTCTCATATTCTGCCTCATCCTTGGTTTCTTGGAAATCACAACTCACTGCATGGGGTATAATGTCCCCTTGTGGTGATTTTAGTATGAATCCAAGACCTAATCCCTTAGAATTAGAAGCTCCAATTGTAAAGAGAGTCCATTTCTTTGTTTCTTCTGTATCTTGAAGCCATTAAATTTCTTTTTCGGCTTCAGGTTGAAGATTCAGACTGAAATTAGCCACAAAGTCTGCTAACGCCTGTGGTTTTATTGCAGATCTTGTCTTATTCCTTAACTCGTATGTACTAAATTATACATACCACTTAGCCATTCTCCCTAACATCTCAGGTTTTCTCATCACATTCTTGATGGGATAGTTAGTTTTTACACACATAGGGTGAGTTTCGAAATAATGGCGTAGTTTAGTTGAAGCACAAACAAGAGATAAGATTAGTTTTTCAAGATATGAGTACCTGGTTTCCGCATCTAAGAAACTCTTACATACTTAATACACAGGATGTTGAGTACCATCTTTCTCATTGACCAAGATTGCGCTTGTTGTATTCTTGGAAATAGATAAGTATAGGAGTAAGGGTTCTCCATATTCAGGCTTGGCCAACAAAGAAGCCGAAGATAGATATTTCTTCAGCTCTTGAAATGTTTTTTCATGGTCTGATGTCCATTTAAATTTTTTGTTCTTCCTCAAGACATTATAAAAAGGGTTCGCATCTTTCTGACGCCTCTGGACATCTTAGGTAGAGAATGGGGATTATAAATTCAAGATAGCCTTAATTTGTTCTGGGCTAGCTTTAATTCTCTTCTTTGTTACCATGTAGCCCAGGAATTTCCCTGCTTTAACTAAGCCTATTGTTCGGCCCGTCGGGTTTCGGGTTATTCGGGTAAATGTCGAGTGAAAATATAACCAATACCTGAACCGAATGATTTTTGGGTATTCGGGCTTCGAGTTGGGTCGGGTATATTTTAAGATACCTGATTTTTTTTAAAAGGTTCATATTTATACATATGTCTATTAGTGTATTGAATGGATGTTCATGAATTAAAATTACTTATGTTCATAGTTTCAAACCACAATCGAAGCCAACCATCTAAATCACTTGATAACAATGTATATGCATGTATTTTGCATCTACTAAAAAGAACCCCACGTCTTAAATCTAGAAAACCATAAAATAATAGCATATCAAGTTCCAAAAGACATTCATAAATATACTTGTTTTTCTTGCACCTTCACAACTTCATCTTGCTCAATTCTATATAAAAAAAAGGTCAAATAATGTTAGTATTAAAAGGAAAAGATATTAAATTTACAATTATTAAAATAATAAACGATACAGAATTACCTTTGTCAATTTGTTGATTTGTTTCCCATTCTTGTTCATAATCGATTGTGTCACTTATGCTACCCCGAATCCAATCTTGTGTACAAATTAAACTTTCAACAATCTTAGGAGTCAAAGAACACCTAAACGAATCCAAAACCCTCCAACTAGTGCTAAAAACGGATTCCGAAGCCACCGTTGAGACGGGAAAGGCGAACACATCTTTATCCATCAATGATAGAATCATGAATCTTGGACTATTCACTTCCCACCAATCTAAAATATCAAACATTTTCGAGTCGTCTTAAACACTTTCTTGCAAATACTTTTCTAACTCCCCAATTGATTCAACTATGTCTTTCTTCATCTTTTCTCTTAGTTTATTTCTAGGGGATTTGGTTCCATAAAATTCGGGTTTTGGCATTTCCCTAACATCGATGATGAAGTGGTAGACTTGGTAGTACTTTTAGTAGAACTTGGAGAATGAATTCTAATATAATCATTATATAATTCATACATAGAATCCATAATATATTTCGTTTTGGCCTCCACCTACTTTTCTCCATAACGATCCTCAAGTAGTGTAACCAAATACATTGCTTTATTCCTCATATCAAGAATCAAAGCAAAGTAGAGCAATAAATTCATTTTTTATGTTGCCAAAATACTTATCAAACTTTATTTTCATGGCCAATGCAATATCACATAGACTAGAATCAGAAATAGCATCAGCCAAGAGTGTACGAATGGAATATATATCTTCAATGCATGTGTTTGATGTCACATAAAGTGTCCCTTATATCCTCAAAGTAACATCACAAAAAGGTTTTAAAAAATGACATAGATGCCTAACCCTTTCACAATCGCTCGATGAAGGTATCGACACACCTGCCTTTTCAATTTCGAACCGAAAATCAAATTCCTCAAGATCATATCTCTTAAAAGTTTTTTCATAAGCTTGATAAATTTCCAACATATGGTAAGTAGAGTTATTTCTTGTTGGCACATCTCTCTTCAAGTGTTCCATTATACCGGGATTAACAACCTTACCAAAACCGGTAAAGTTGCGAATTCTAGAAGGCGATTGTCTAATCCATTTAACCGCCCATCAAACTATATCAACCGCCCTATCAACTTTTTTATGCCATCTTGCACCACTAAGTTTAAAATGTGGGCAACACATAGAATGAGCATCTATTTCCCATTTAGAAAACACTTGTTGGAATTTGGAAAGCTTTTTTTTTTTCAAGAATTCAATTTCCACATCATTTGCACTTGCATTGTCAACAAAAATTGTGAAAACATTTTCTATCCCCCACTCCATTAAACATTTCTCAACCATTTTTCCAATATCAACCCCACGGTGACTCTCTTGAGATGAAAAACACAACACTTTTTTTTTCAATTTCCTTTCATTATCAATAAAGTGGGCGGTGAGACACATAAAACCGTTAAAACAGTTAAAAAGCATTAAAAAACAGGAAAAACAGGAAAAAAAAAAGAAAATAGGTAAATAACAAAAGCATGAAAAAAACAGGAAAAAGAAAACAGAAAAACAGTTAAAAGTTTCTGTACATAATATATTAGTTAGAATTGACATAATTGTTTCTCGAAATTGGTGAACCTCAAACACCTAAACTTCAAGATTGTAAAGCCTGTTGTGTGCGTGCATAACAGAGGAATTTACATATCTTAAATGTTAATTTTAGATTATTTACATGTCTTAATGCTAGAGTCTGAAAAACAAGATAAAAACTTACAACAATAGAAAATAACTACATGTATACTTAAACATAACATCGGACATTAACCGCTACAAATTTATCAGCAACTTGATCAGTAATTAAATATGATTTTCTTGAGTATAAGAAAACAATTCAAAAGTTGATAAAGAAGCCCAGACATGTGCATATGTTGGCGAAGTCAAACATACACACTCTCACACTAACTAACCTAAAGTAAGTTATTGATTGATCAAAAAACACACAAACAAAACACAAAAGGAAGCTAATCAAAGAAGAAATAAAAATGCACAATGAAGAACAAAAGGGCGATAACAGGGTTTCCCTTCAAGATCATCACAAAACTCATGATGGAATCCGTTTTCTATTCGTGAAGCTTGGCTTAGCCTTCGACTTGAGGATCCAGATGTTTATTGGCACCAACTTGTATGGTTCTCTTAAAACATCCCATGTCATGCCTTCATCTTATGGGTTTCCCTTAAAGATCATCACAAAACTCATGATGGAATCCGTGTTGCAGCTTTTGTCATATTTTTCCCAAACTCTCTCAACTACCTATTCTTTGAGTATTCATATCCATATCAAATTTGGCATGAGATAACAGCCTTAATAAATCTCAGAAATGTTCTTGACAAGTGGTTTAACATCATCGACCTCCTCAAGCAGGCCACTAGAGGTAAGTCCATTTGGTTTTTTATTCATCGTTTAGTTCTTGCAGGTGTTGTCTACCATATTTGGATTGAAAGAAACAATAGGATCTTCAAGAATAAGAGAAGACCCTATGAAACTATGGTCAAGCCTATTACTGATGAAGTCCGCTCAAGAAGCATGAGCCTCACTCTCAAGGCCTCCCAAAATACTGATAAAGCTAAGCTCCTTTGGAGGCTTCCTATGATGAACAAAGATATTGCTACTCACCACTCGCCTTGAATTTGTGTCCAATGTTTGTGTCTTATTTTTGTCTTTGTGGTTGTTTATGCTTTGTATTACGGTTTAGATCATGTTCTTGCCCCCTTTTAGTTGTTATTCACTCAGTTTGGTTATTTTGGTCCCTGGGGCATGTCCTACGGACCTTTTTTCTATAGGTGGGGAGTGCCCACCCTGCTATTGTATTTATTATTTTATTAATAAAATTTAATGGGCGTGCCGCCCTCCTTTACCTATATATATATATATATATATATATATATATATATATATATATATATATATATATATATATATATATAATATATATATATATATATATATATATATATATATATATATATATATATATATAGAGAGAGAGAGAGAGGTAGGTTCAAATGTTTCTCACATCTATTGTATGCTAGAATGCATCAATAGGAATTTAGTATTAATTATATGTATATTAAATGCTATCCATACTTATAACTCATTTTTATGGAAACTAATTAAATTCGTCATTAATGTCAACAATAATATTCTCTCAGAATGAATTCATATCTAGAAGAATGAGAGTGTATTCCAGCAGAATGAGAGTGTATTCTAGTGGAATACACTCTCGTTCTTCATATTCCATCCAACTTTATTGTATTTTAAGTGGGTGAGTCCTGAAACAAAATACGAACTCATATATAAAAACCTAGATGCGAATTCATTCTGAAAGAATGTTATTGCTGACATTAATGACGGATTAAATTAGTTTCCATAAAAAGAGAATTATAATTATGGATATCATGTAATATACATATAATTATGGAAATCATTTAATATCTATATTTATTTAATTAAATAATTATTTAATTTACTAAATTCCTATTGGTACATTCTAGCACACAATAATTGTAAGAAACAAAATAACCTAGCCCTATATATATATATATATATATATATATATATATATATATATATATTGTTAGGGGCAGGATCCCATAATCATATTCAGGATCCTTAATATCCCTAAAGTGTTAGGGATCCTTCAACATATCTCAGGATCCTGATTATTATCATTAATATTTCCTAACACTTATAATGGCTATATTCTTCTTTCTTTCTCTGACAGGTGCAGAATTACTCAACACAAGACTCATTTTCAATGGAGAATCACTTCAACCAAGCTTAAGACACGGGAATACCAAATCAAATAACGTGCAAATACTTGTTCAAGGTGGATCCCGGAAATCCCAGACTTCTTGTTAAGTAGATTAGACTATAAATAACACAAGACTCATTCTCAATGGAGAATCACTACACACATAATTAGCTCTACTACTACACTTGTACTCATATTATCTTCATCATCTCTATAATCTCATATTAAAATCAATAAAAAGCAACAAGGAAGGTGATCATTATCACCTCCCAAGGTTTTATGTCGGAGATCATATAAAGGATCAAGGGCTTTCCATGTACCGCGCTTGTCTCGCTTTAATCCCTATTCTACACTTGTATTATACTAACACCATAACCTCTCATACAATTTGGTTGAATTGCACTTGATCGATTTTTGACCAAGACAATTTTGCAACCACCGTGGGGCCGTGGTGTTCACAATCGTTTGAGAATCATGTCTACCCAACCAAACTTATCCATTTCCTCCATTCCTCCCATTTCCTCAAAAAACCTTCCTCCACCTCCAGGCAGATCTCCCAAGAAAACATATGAGGCACCGAAGAAAAACACATCTCCGGTCGCTACCCAAGGATTTCAAGATCCTCCTATACTGATTTCCAAAACCGAGCTCTTAACTATGATGAATAGAGTGGAACAGCAAGTCACTCAGCATAAGCAGGACAATAGGACATTTCTCAAGGAAACAGAGAGAATGAGAGTAGAGATCTATAAACCCCAAGAAGTAGCACCCTTAATCTTGCAGCCCAAGATTCTGAACTTTGACAGTAGAGGATCCTCAGGAAACTACCGCGAGATATGATCTTCAACACCGACCACTGCTCCCGCTTGGGGTGGAGGTCTAAAAGATAAAGCTCCTATAATCCAGGATCCCGGCGAAATATTCATCACTCCCAATTTAAAGGATCCTAGTAACTCCGTAAATAATAATACTTTTAATAATAACTCCATTGATGTTGATGCAGGAATAAGCCCGTTCATGGCCAAAGAACTGTTGGGTTTTATATACTACAACATCCTATGGTGCACATACAACCCTAAATACCTTGGATCTATGTTTTCACTAATTATACATGCAATGATGTTTCCAAGTTATTAAGACTATAACTAGCATGCAATTGACATATACCATACAAGATACTAGTTAGGGTAACATACCTTTTATGTAGCTTGAAGTCTTGATGTATTTGGCCTTAAGAGCTTAGCCCCAATAGTGTGGAAGCCTCAAATGAAGTCACAACACATCATGAACAAAGGTGGCTCTTGAGAGAGAATCTCCATGCACCAAAAACACCTCCATGAACTCCAAGTACAAGTCTAGGCGTTTTTGGCTATGAATGGACATATTTATATGTAGGATTCCAAGGGTCATGGGTATAGCCCAAATCCATACCCATGGGTGTTATGATCCATGGTTCATGTGGCCCAACTCTTTATGTATCCATACATAAACTTGGTCCAACATGGATCATAAGCCCAACACATATAAATATAACTAATTACCATAATTAGTCCCCATAGATTTAATTAGTCTCCTTTGATCACAAAATTAATTCCAAATTAAATCTTGATCAATACTAATTAAAATATATGATTTCATATTAATATATTATAACTTATAATATATTAACAAATCATATATAACCTTCTCTCACGAATCCATCCTAACAAATTGTCCTGATGATATGCAACCCAAATGGACTATGCTACTCTTGGGTCAAGTACATACCAATAATAGTTATGAGCTTAGACATCTAATCCAACAGTCTCCCACTTGGATAAGTCTAAAACTATTATTGCAAGTACGACTCCAAAATCCGACTGGCAATCGTAGCTCTTAAAAGCCGTTGTCAAACTCTGACCTATTCAATCACATGTCCATTAGATAAGGGATCATATATTCCTCCATTCTAGATATCATATGGACTGAGACATAAATTATAATCATTCTCTCTGTCCATCTGTTGTTTCCCGATTTCCGATTTATGACGACCGACTAATTGAACAAATCAAATCGATCCAGGCCCGGTCGAGCACTTACGTTTGTCATCACTAAATCATCGAGGGGCCCACAGATATCGCTTTTATCCCTCCAAGGGTAAAAGGAATGGATAAATTTCGACTCATATGCTTGCTCTATTTACTCATCAAATCACACACAACAATGCATTTTATAACACCAGGTTACTGGTGCATTTTCACATTATCAATGTGTAACCAACTTGTAGACTGCAACTCATATCTCTCAGTTTGTAGAATATAAGATATTATCGTCTCATGATCACTCGTGATAAAATCCATGAAGTGATTCAAATGAGCGTGGGTTTAATCCAATACTCGAATCTTATTCCAGGAGCACTCATGAATACTGCAGCTATGTCTAGGCCACCTAGACAAACTACAGACCCATTCATGACAGTCCTGCCTCAATACCTATTTCCAAAGTATGATCGACAGTGGACGGTTTGAATAACCTAGTTATTCGGGAAGTCAAAACATGGAAAGTGAAAGACAAGAATAATACTAATCCTATATGGCCCCAATACTTGTGAGAGTAAATAAAACATCTTTTATTTAATCACCATATTGATTACTCATTATTCATTGTATAATGTTTCAAATAATCAACTTTATACTTGAATCAAAACAATAGTTGTCCCATGCTCCAAGCATGCACACTATTTTTACCTATGGTCCTTCGTTTGTGGAATAGATCAATTGAAAACATTTCAAATGATACTCATTTCACAATTCCAAATCCTTATCGCAAATGTAAGAATACAAGATTCTTTGCCATTTACTGAAATCTGTTAGATTCTAAACTTATATGCATTGATCCTTTTGTGATGACTATGCACAAAAGTCACAAAGACTCGGCAATAGACATTACAAAGTATTCCAATGGAGATCAATTCAATGGAAACGAAGTCTCACATTCAAAGTACATTCCTTTGAACATCCTTCTTGCATTAAGTTTTCTAATCTTACACAAATTTGAAGAAAAACTTCCACCTATGGAAACATTTCCATATTCCCATTTTTTTTACTATCTCTTCTGAACAGGAGTTGTCTCTTTTCAGAATATGTCAATATGGTCTTTCCAAAAATTAACACTATACTTCCAACCGTCCATGAGCAAGCAATCTTTGGTAAACCTCAGATTGTCCTCGAGAATTGCTTAATCATTTTAGTCATATCCAGTTCTAGTCCTTTTCCCTCTTAATGCCCTAGGCATTTGGAAAATTTAGAACGGATGAATATTAAGGCACATGTAATCGATCCTATATCGAAAGAATATGGGACACGATTCATGATGTCTCACATAAAGACATGATACTATACCAATCTTTTGCTATAATATTTCTATTTCTATTTCCCATGTTCTCATAATTCGAATTATGAAAAGGGATGCCGTAATCATAATCGAATATTAGAATGCAAATAACGTAATCATGACTAAATTTGATTAAAGACTCACAATCTAAGCTTTTAGAATTGGAATGAAGTATAATTTCCTCTCCCTTAATTATAGCAAAACAACTTTCCAAACCCTGCAACTTTGCAAATTGACACTTTCGTTTTCTATAATTAATATTGCTAACTTGCAACCCCTAACATAATGATCATGCTCCCACTAACATGATAATTATTATCATAACACTTATGCTACCACTAGCTTTGACATGTAACCATAGTATAACCCAAATTCATACCCATGGGTGTTATGATCCATGGTTCATGTGGCCCAACTCTTTATTTATCCATACATAAACTTGGCCCAACATGGATCATAAGCCCAACACATATAAATATAACTAATTACCATAATTAGTCCC